AAAAAAATCATTTCTTCAACATGTTTTTGGACAACATAATGGCTATATTTAAAGCATGCTGTGGTGACAATGTTATAGCCCCCCCAGGCTCACGGCGAGAAGACTCGGCGAGACTTCTCGCCGTGAATTTGCGCGAGAAGTGGGAAGGTGTCTACACTCAGCGAATGTGATACTCTTCTCTTTTCTCACCCGAGACACCCTTTGACTCGGGCGAAAATACCGCCACCGATCGGAGAACAGGCGAGCGCGAGAGTGAGATGGGCGAGCAACAGATCACATTCACGCTGCTCGGGGGTTCTCGCCGTCTGGAGGGGCTATCGTTTTATCTTTGTTTTTGTTTACCTTTGTTGAAAGGTTATCCCTTACTTTTTGTGAAAAAAACAGTTTCTGAGATCTGAGTAGTACACATGTTTTTATTATTGCCCTTTCATTTACTAGTGTTAAGCATAACAAAATGCCTCGATTTCGAAGACGTCCAAATTATCACAATGTTAGCGACATTGACAGGGGTAGAATTATTGCCTATCGAGATGTTGGTTTATCCTATCGCGAAATTGGCCGCCGTGTTAATTGTACTGCAACGACGGTAATGCGTGTGTGGATAGAAGCAGGTAAAGGAACACAAAGGCCAACTGATCCACCGAGGCGTACCACAGAGCGTCAAGATAGGCGCTTCAGACAACTATCCCTACGAGACCGTTTTGCTACTACCAATGGTTTGGAGAAGAAGCTAGACCTATTACTATGCGTACACTCTATCGCCGCATTCTAGCCTTTGGACTTTTATCATACCATCCACGTTTAGTGCTTCCTCTGACTGGAGCACTGTTGTCAACGTTTGAACTGGAGCAGAGAACGGCAACATTTGGAGGCAGAATGTCATCTTCAGCGACGAATCCCCATTTTGGCTAGTAACGCTCGATGGTCCTAGAAGGGTAACGATTTGCTGTTGAGAGGCGTGTACACTGGACTGTTGGTGTAATGGTTTGGGGGGCTATTGTCTATGGTAGCCGATCACCTCTTTGTTCAAAGCAAAATGACAGCTGCGCGTTATGTTGATGATGTCATACAAACCACTTTACTGCAGTATCTATAGGGCCGTCACACGTCCCTTTTCAGCAAGACAACGCACGTCCCCATATTGCTTGTCGTACTACGGACTTTCTTCAAGAAGCAGGCGTTAATGCTTTGGCGTGACCACCCCGTTCACCGGATTTAAATCCCATCGATCATGTATGGGATATGGTGGGGAGGAGACATTCAACTTTGCACCATCTGCCAGAGCTAATCCACGATGTTTGAGTTGCTTGGAATGAGGTGCCGCAACTAGACATCGATCATCTTATTTGTTCGATGCCTAGACGTGTGCTGCGGGTTCGCCCAACACATTAATTTTTTTCTTGTTACTTGTCAATACAATTTCGTGAGAATATTATCGTTTCATTCTCGATGTAAGACTACTTCATTGCCAAAAAATCAAGTTGAAGAAATTATTTTTTCTGGGTGTATCACTTCTAAAGTAACTGAGTATATGTGAAAAGACCTATAATAGTTGTCTTGAAGTTTTTCCGAAATGTGATGCTCGCTAATAGAAAATATTTAATTCGGCATATATTTTAATGATCGTATTTGGTAAAATATTTTGTAACATGCCTACACATTGCATAAAATATATATTTTTTAGACTGCAAATGGATAATAAGTATCCCCACCACGAATAAAGGTCACAAAAGTCAGTTTGAACAAAAAATACTCAATCTTTCGCTACAAGTTTCATGCAAAAAGAATTATCTATCTGACAGTTTGGATTCCATCAGGCCGCACTTCGTTGCGCCGCTCATTCTTAGCTCAGCAGCCGTCCTATATGGAGGCTGCCATTTTTGATCCCGCAAAGTGCGAGATTCGTTCCATAATTCGTTTTTTCCACGTCAAAGAGATCCCACCCGTGGATATTCGTCACATGATAGGTGTATGGCAACAAGAGCATGTCCGTTAAAAAAAAACAACGAAATGTCATCTTGCAGACTAGGTAGTTTTTAGGGTGCAAATAGTTCATTCCACGTTTTTTCTCGCTATGATCGCTGTGACCGTCCATCTATGGAAGAATGACTCAACTACGCGCATTGCTGGTTGCAGAGACCAAGTATATGTTTTGTGAAGCCGAGGAGTCTGAAGTGTTTATCTCTGAGAATATGTGAAAGAAAGCTGGTTGAATAGCAAGATCGCATCTGGAAGATTATGCGTATGGGTCTGCATGTGTAAAAGTCAGTGATATTTGCTATATGAGAAAATTATTACTGAATATGGTGCCAATGAAGTATATCTATCAGCTGTGGGTTATTAATATGTTGTCCTTCCTGAAGACAGGTTTTGTTCAAAGTTATAAATTACGATTTTTTCCGTTTTTTTTGTGTTTTCAAAAAACTTTGAGGAGCATTACGTCACCGCGCCCGCGTTGTGTGTAATTAAGTCATATCACTGAAAAATTGGGAATGACGCATCGCACATCAAACATTTACGAAATGCCTCACATCTACGCGTTGATTTGTAATTTCTATTGACATCGCAAATTAAATTTCTATAAAATTTAAATTACTGGAAAATAAAAATAATAACCTTTTCACTTTCATAAATATTCCTGTCTATAGCATATTTTCTCACCTGTTTCTTCACGAACTAGGGATTTTCCTTTCTTATCAGTCTAATTTTTGAAATTCAGCAAATTTGCATATGTAATTTCCAGAATGAATAAGAAAAAGTGGATGCGCAACTAATTTCTAGCTTTGAATCTCAAGTACGTGTATTTGAGACAAGCAACCAATGGAATTATCATTAACACATATTATTAGCTCACAAATCCTCACTATGCACCTATGCACCGCCGTTTCCTTCTAGCTATAGTATACAACTTACACCTCCAATGATGCCATCTCTGAAGATTTCACATCACATCATAGCCAAACATTGATAAATGAAGCATCGTGACATTTAGGCAACACATACAACTACAAAACGAGCTCACAAATGTCCATCAGCTAGTGCTTAGATAACATCTTGTAGAAAAACATACATACTGTCACAAAAAACCAATATGTTAAAAAGAATGTCACTTTTGAAGATACGTAATACCCGTGCCGATCTTCATCGTGGACTTCCTTCCGATCGGCACTGAACTCCCTGCACCACTTTCGGACCTGTTGAACGGACATACACTTGTCGCTATACACCTCTGGCAACCGAGTATGAATATCCAAGGATGGAGTCACTTTGGCATGCAAAAATCGATTTATGGAACAAATTTCGCACTTGGCGGTATCCAAAAATGGGAAGCTCCATATCGGCGTCTGCTGAGCCAAGAATAAGAGGCACAGCGGTGCTGCCGGATTTCGCCTCGAACCTTCATGTGTAGCTATAGCTTTCTGGGATCTTTTTTTGAACCAACCCTCTTATCTCTGACCAAATAACAAACTCATCATCACCTGTTTTGTGGACGCCATGTTTTTAGTTTGACATCTCTATCTCCCTCTTAATTTATTCGACTTATTTAAGTCTCTTAGCATAACTACTCTAACATTTAGTTTTCTGAGTGCTTAAGTCGAGCATTACTTAAAATCGGAAGTCTGAACTTCAATAAAATTTCCGCGAGTGATTCTTTACTCTCTAACATTACTACTTAGGGCAGCTGGGCCTTCTCGAATCCTGTCATCTTAGCCGAACTGCAAAGGGAGGGCCCCATCCTTCTAAGCAGGGGTGATCTCATTACCCCTAAATATCGCTTGAACCGCAAGTTTAATGTGGATTATCCAACGAAGGAGGAGTGGGACGCCGGTAGCCGGAGGGTCTCCGGACTGAGTGGTCAGGTCTGGTACACGGATGGCTTGGTCACCGAAGAAGGCTCTGGCACCGGACTCTCTAGAACTAGACTAGCTCAAGCTCTTGGTGGATACACTACTATTTTCCAGGCGGAAATCTTTGCGATTCTGGCTTATGTATCCCGCATTTTGGAAGGGGGAGGGCCCAGGAGAAGAATAACAATCGAGCCTTGTATTGCAATGCAGGGAGGGATTGCAAGACAACACTCTCAGAAATGGAGAAGTATCTCCAGACATCTCCGTCAGGCACTGGAACTCATTGTAGGGCCCAGCGCTAAGGATGGACGTTTCTACTTATCTTTGGATAGAGCCAACCTAAGGTTGCTGCTGGGTCTACTGTCTGGCCATAACACGTTGAGGCGCCACCTGCACGTGATGCTGGTGCCTGAGGATCCCTTGCGAGGTAGAGGAAGATACCTCTGCGCGCGTTCTGTGTCGCTGTGAAGCTCTGAGCTACTACACGCAGAATATACTTTGGACCCCCAGGGCGTCTAGGAGCTTCGAGTCAAGGTCATACTCAACTTCGCTAGAAAGGCGCGGCGTGAGGTCTAAGGAATGTAGAGGTGCATAAGGGCCCGATTAAGCGGCCTATGCGCTGGCTCTTTATGGTGGCCGGAATGCCTCTAATTTCACGATTCATTCATTCAAACATTACGACTACATTATTGTAACAAGAATGAATACTACCGTTGGCGCCATCTGTTGGGAACCGCGCCAGACTCGCCTACTCGCCAGCTCCTTCATGGCCGATCTCTGCTGGGGACCGTGTCAGCGACTCTCCTTCGGTGGCGACATCTGTCGAGGACCGTGCCAGTGACTCGCCTTCTAGATCGACGCGAAGTAAACTTGAATATTCTAGACTTCCGCTTTGTGGCTCGCCGGACTCTTCTTGAATCAGCGATGCGGACTGTATAGTTCGGCCGGAAGATGGAAGCAGAGTAGAGTAGGGCAGAGTGGAGTATAGTTCAGTCAAAGGCGCGACATAAGAATTAGTCAGATATAAATAGTGGTGAACATAAATGTTCTATCTAGTCGAGTTAAATAAATTACTGCAGTTCTTTTTGTGGAATCGTGTTTTAATCCACACACAAAAGAACCCAGAAAAACGTTACATTATCTTTGTTTCAGTTGGAGCTGAAAAAAGCCATAGCAGCGGCGGCGGCGGCTGAAGCACGCGACGTAACACGCGCTGCGGCTGCAGCTAGCTACTCGATTGTTCGTCGTCTGACGCGTTCTTCGCAAAGTCGCGAATCCTCTGACAAGGTGGCCGCGAAGAAGTTCAATCCAGTTATCATCTCGAAGAAAATCGGCGACTTTAGCGACGAGGATGACATCAGGGAGGTCGCTAAAGACGATACGCTGACAAAGCACGTAGAATTTGGTGGTGCTTTAGGATCCGTCATCGCTAGCTTGTTCATTCCGGTTAGCGTTGTGGGGCTGTACGTCTGGTGCGGAGAGGATAAGTGCGTATTTACAGGTAGGTTACACACGAGCTTAAAATTGATGCTCTGCAAAAAGCGCGCATCCTACTTGCTGTGCACACGAGAAATAAACGCCTGTGCCCTGTTGTATCTCCATCTCTGTAATGCTGACTGCAGACATCCGTAAACATATTATACTTTTCCCCGCCTAGGCTAGGAAGTGTTATCATCGGGAAATATTTCAAAAATGAGATTTTACGTTTTTTTTTTTTATCTTATTTTTTCGGTCTATCGGCGTGTCTGTCAGTCGGTCTGTCCGCTAATCCTTGAGCCGTCAATAACTTAGAATGTTGCTACTTTACCAAGGATGAAGAAGCTTTGTAATTTTTGAAAATCCGTCCGGTGGTGGCGGATCTACAGAGAAAAAAAATGGCGACAAGTGGGTTGACTCTGCACTTCCCGCGCAACGCCGTTATCAGTTCATGAAGGATTATGTTCAGCATAAATTAGACCCTCTGAGAAAAAAGTCGGTCAAACAGGTCGATTCAATTAGTCCATAGACATTCTTTCCCTATCCTACTGGAATACCATCTGAAAACATCGCCTCACCCCGGTCAGACACGTGGCAGCGCGGTCATAGCATAGGAAACACTATGCTGTGGGGCGGCAGAAATACGTGTAATGTCATACCAGAACAACAGAACACTCACCATACGCGATCCGTCTGCTGAGAATATTTGATGCGTAGAATTACCAAGGTTGGGAGCGAATAAACGTATTAACATAAAAAAAATTAAAACAAACCATCTCCACCCTCCTAAAACTCCCACATCCAAGTTTTGTACCTCTAAATTTTTTTTCAAAAATCATCGTGATCCTCTGAATTGTCAAAAAACGAGATTTGTACGAGTTTCATTCTTTTTTGTTTTTGGTCATTTTCTCTGCCTCCACTGGTCCTTTTTTTAAATCTACAAAGCTTTTGCATCCTTGGCATAGTAGTAGCATTGTGTGAAAGTTTTCGAAATCGGAATCCTAGCAGTACTTCTCAAGTTATAGGCGGGTTTAAGATTAGCGGACAGACAGTCAAACTGAAGAAAATGACTGACATTGTTTTTCGTGATGTATATGTCATATAACATCCTCAAAGCATTATATCTCATTTTCGAAAATTTATGCGATTACAGTGGAATATAACAAAAGACGTCACCCACAACCTAAGGTGTTTCAGCAACAGTCTTTGAAAACAAAAATATGATGTGTATTGGCAAATACATTGCCCAGATTAAAATTATCAGTATCCCCATCAGTACTCTCTTTTCAGGGATTTCCGATCTTCAGAAATACAAAAGGCTATCAACTTATTTTGACTTGAAATCAGCACTGGGTCTGTTGGCATATTTCACCATCCTATCACTTCTTTCTGCTTTTCCATATGGAGGAAAAAAAGTAGCTGCACAACCTAGCAAACAAGGAAAATTTGTTTATGTTATGAATGGATTATTAAGCGCTTTAGGTAAGATACCTTCTTTCATATGATTATTGCATTTTAAAAAAATATAAAATATGAATACTATTGAATCATAACAATTTTGCAGTTGTCTAATTGTTTACTAGCTCATATACTTCATCCAAATTCTTGGAAAAAATTGTAAGTAGGTGGTATTGGTAAACAATTGAGCCATTGTATGTGAATAGTCATCCAGAAGTTCTCAAGATAGCTAGCGATGCACCGAGTAGTCGGTACTTGGCATACTCGGTCCATTTTACCGAGTACCCGGTTTTGCCGAGTATTAAATTACTTGGTCTTAGCACAAGATCTATAACTTGTGTAAATCAAAGGATTCCAGATATGATTTACAAAGTCTGAACTCGTATCCCTTTTCCTAACTTTCCTGATACGCTCTCCAAGAAATTAACGCAACATTAAAAAATAGCTTAAGTTACATCTTATTTTTCCTGGAATCACTTTGCTGATTTTTAAGATTTTCAGTAAATGTCAACTGCCATTATCAGTAAGCTAGTGTACTTACGTTTTTTATATAAAAAATATAGTATTGCCTTTTTGCATTCTATATTTGCACTTTTACTTTTTATATGAACACCAATATAGTCAACGCCAAACAAAGTGGCGTGCACGTCATCAAGGTGGGTGTGTTGAAAAATTTACATTGTTGCCAAACTTTTTGTAAAATAATAAAATTTATTATTTACATATCTAGGTTTATAAGCAATATTAACCTCAAATGAGAACAAAAATAATAGTATAATAAAATTATAGATCTGTACTTGCATAATCATTAAGTATGACAATTATTGATCAGATGACACTATGAAACTACCATATTTAATTGATAGCTTAAAGGTACTGAATAAAAATCCAAATGGGGTCCTCCAAATTTTATGCATGGTATTTATTTTACAGAATTCATACAGAAAAATGCATGCTAAAATTAGGTAAGCTACTGGTGTAAGCTTTTTCTGTACAATAAAGTTAGTCGGAGTTTCTTTCTTCAGCGCTGTCTGAATCTGAATCTTCATCACTCTCAAAGTTGATTATTAAAGGTTCGATGTCTGGTCGATCAAAAATTCGTTCTCTTTCATACCATTTAAAAATTTCTTGCTCAGTATGTCGAACACTATTTTTCCACATGTCTGGGGTAACCGTTTGTAGAGCCTCGTTCCACATATCCAAACAGTCTTTTTCACTGTTACCATCTCTACCAATATGTCTGTTATAGTAACCTTTTGCTATGCCCCAAATTAACTCAATAGGGTTAAATATACAATGGTAAGGAGGCAGACGAAGAACTTTGTGCCCATGTTGTTCCGCCAATTCATCAATCACGTATATTTTAGGTGGTTTGTTTCTAAAAAAGCAGTTATTTTAAGAATAGGAATAAACAAAAGAAATATAAACTGTCGACCAAAATATATATAATTAAGAAGCATTATGTACCGAGCAACAATACTCAATAGCTCTGTTTTAAACATTGTGTTTAAAAATGGTATGTTTTGATTTGTCAACCAGTCTTGGATATTTTTTTTTGTCCATGCATTGTTGGGCACTTTGTTCAATATCATGCTGTGATAAGGGGCGTTATCCAGTATAATCATAGATGGACTCTCCAATTTTTCTAACAACTGATGTTGAAACCATTTCAAAAAATTGTCCTGGTTCATCTCTCCATGGTAATCGCTCAATTTTGTTTTCGAAGAAAATATCGCTTCACTACCCTCAATAAACCCATTTTCATTTCCAGCATGTAATATAATGTATCTAAAATATATTAGTTTTAAATTTTATAGTGCAAATTGTGTAAAAGTAATAGCTTTCACGCTTTTTTGGTTTCCATTTTGCCAAGAGCGACCTATGGTCCCATTTTGAAATATCCAAGTTTCATCGAGGAAGACAAACTGGTATAAGGCCTCAACCTTGGCTTGATTGTATTGCCTTAGAAATTCCACCCTTTTCAAAGCTATACTTGGTAGTTCCATGAGCCCTCGTCGCGGATTGTCCTTAAGCCACTTAAATCCAAGATCTCTAAGCAACCGCCTTAAAGACGTGGCACTACCATCAAATAATACCCTATCTCTTAAACGAGACCATAAAGTTTGTATCGTAACTTGTTCTTCTGAAACCATGTGTAATATGACATTATAATTTAGTTAACAAATTAATGCAAATTTCTGATAAGTTATTATAATAAGATCTTACTTTTGTGATACATATTATAGATCACTTCTCGAATGGCACTTGTATCCAATGTCGCTGTGTTGGTTACACGTTTAATATAACTCCGCTTTTTCTTGGGCGATTCTAAATTTGCATCACTTTTCACACCCTCGGAAATACGACTAACTGTCCTTAAACTAATTTTTAAAGCAGCAGCAACACGCTACAAAAAATGAAATAAAATTTCACTATTATTAATATACATTACATATAATTATTAGTAACCTACCTCTTGAACAGCATTTAAAGGCAACAAAGGCCCGTTGTTGTCCCTTTCTTGCTCAAAGTAGTGCATTAACGAGGCCACGAGTTCCTTACACCGACTATTTAACTGTGGGCATCTTTATATACCAAAATTGCCTTTATCTACTCGTAAAATGAATAATTTTGTTTTGAAACAAACAGTTGTTGATTTACAGTATGCGGGGCCAAAGGATTTATAAAGATTTGAAATGCCACAAATTGATTCAGTGTCAAAATTAATACAAATGTCAGTTCCCAGTTTAAATAAGTTTCAAGGTGACAATGTGTCAACGCTGCGAAATCGGTTTAGTGCGTTTACATGTCGATAAGTGATTGGAGCGTTTGCAAAACATTTTATTTCGCATAATGCGTCTAAATTTATCAGAAAGCAACTTATGTGATATTTTAATAACAATGTTTATATGACTATTAACCATAATAAGAGAGTAATGACCATTTTACAATTTATATATCACATTAATATGAAACTGCAATAGAGCAATTGTTTGTGATAGAAACCTAGGCATTAGGTCGGGGAATTTTTATCGTGATGACGTGCACGCCACTTTGTTTGGCGTTGACTATAGAGAAAACCTTTAGTCATATATAAGGAATATTTAGGTTTAGTCCATCCCAAATCCCGCCACGGCATCTAGCAGTTTTAATTTGCATTATTTTGCAAACTTCTTAAGACAGTCCAGAAACGTATAGGATTTAAACAATGGCGCTGACGCGGGAAGCTAATTTTTCGAAACTTGAGCAGGTTGTGGCCTCGCGTTGTCTACGGTCAACAAAGATGTGCGTTTAAGATGTCGAGTATATACCTTTTGAATGACTTACAAATGTGTTTCTTTGTAAACTTGTAATGTGAACATATGGTTTCAGTTTCAACTCAATATTGTAGCTTCTGATTTCACAGTTAAAAACATATACCTAGCTGTTGCAAGGCTCTTGAATCCTAAAAAGAAAACCTTCTGAAAATACCGTAAATACACTAACCTACGACACTTCAGTCACAAAAAAGCTACAGAACTGCTTTTGTAATGCGTTAAAAGCCCAAATATATTATCAATATATTTTGGGTTATTAAGGAAAAAATTATAGTTGGTTTACTTCGTATGATGTACCATAAGAAAGAACAGGAGTGAAGGAAGTTTTTTCAATTGTTTGAAATTACACCGTTGCCAAATTCGTTCGAAAAGTCATGAGGCACTGCAAAACTGAACCAGCAAACCAACATTATTTTTTATAACCTGTATGTGACCTTTCGATAACCTGGAAACTATTTGTATAGCGAACTAAGATAATACAGAAGTTGATCTTAGATACTGAACAAGCGGCGGTTTACCGCATGATTTGGCATTTTTCTAGGATTTCACAAAATTGCGCGTAACTCAAAAACGATTGTTTCAAATGAGGTGCACTATCACCCCTTCCGAACACCCTGTATATGGTCCATGAATAGTTTTCATCAAAAAGTTTTTGTTTAGGAGCAATACTCCGTCCTCACGCATCATAAATTCATTATCAGGTATGATTATGTTCAAAATTCTCTTATGACATGCGTAGTGTTGTCTCTAAAGGAGTAAGACACCTTTAACAAACCAAAATCAATGTGGATGATGTATTCGCTTCGAAAATTGGTAACACGTATTCTGGTTACCCAGCAAATTTTTCTTGTACACACAAATGACACATTTAATTCTGTTTTACGTTTCAGTTATGTTCTCCATATGTGCTGGCCTTGAATTCTACCGTATACCTGTAGCAGACTATATAATTCGTCATCAATTTCAACTACTGATATCTTCGATTTGTTTCGCTGCTATTGTATCCATACTTCTGTATGTCAGAAGCTTCTATGTTCCAGTCAGCACCTTGAATTCTTTTGCTGTGGGAAGGAACAAGTACTACGCATTTTTCATGGGCAGAGAAATAAATCCTAGACTGTATGGTGTTGTTGACTTGAAGATTGTGTTTTTCAGAGCCTTCTTGATTGGAGCGGTAAGTGCCAAATACGTTCACAAAGTTGTTAACCTTCTCACAAAGCTAAACCGTTAAGCATTTATGATGCATTTCAAGATGAACAATGAAAAAACCAAAAATTTGTAAAGATACTTTACTTATTCACTGTCTGCTATAATTCCAGGCCCTTATTGACTTTGTATATCTATACAAATCCTTGGACTTGACGGCTATGAGAAATGTAACAGCAGAGTTCGATCCGAAAAAAATGAATCTTCAACCAACTCTAATAACATATGTATTGCTGCACTTCATTTATTTGCTAGATCCACTCATTTGGGAGTCTGGATGGACTACTCAGTTTACAGCACAACAAGAAGGTGAGATGATTTTTTTCTAATAGATATCATCCTAAAATGAAGGGGATCCTTAAGTGGAAGGTTGATGTGATGCTTAAGAATACATAACATTTTATTACTTCTAAGGAAATGACCGCTATCCTACAACATGACTGTGATGATGGGAATTGTATGTGAACTTCCAAATACAACACGGGGTTGGTCATATTCTTGGAATAATACATACCCTTGATTAATGGTTCAACATGAACATCATTGTATTTTTTGTATCTTTAATTCATATAGGTTTTGGATATTTGCTGACGATGGTTTACGCTACAGTACCATTCTTTTATGGTACGATTGTCAAGTATATTATAGAACATGGTGTGCAACTTGAAGTCTGGAAATTGGTTGTATTAACGTTGGTCTTCATAGCAGGCAGTGTTCTATGCAGGGGCAGCAATAACCAGAAAGATGCTTTCAGAAAGAATCCATATAGCCCGACGCTATCACGTATGTATAGTTAAACTCTCACATAACTATGGGATCTCGTATTTTTTAAATTGGTGAAAAACCTCGTACATGAAAAAATAGCAAATGCCAGCTTATCACGTGTAACACGTTGTTACAGTAAGTTGTCAATCTCCTTTGACATTTCGGACGTATGTCTTTACTTGATTGACATATACTGGAGGTTTCGATGGGTAGTACTGTAATGGAACTTTATATTATATAAAATTCACTATGCGTCAAAGAAGCAACAATGGTTATGATGTTTACATCGCCTATCAGTGGATGGGGTAATTGTTTTATTAATGCGTGCCAAAAATGACTAAATTATACTTGAAAAATATGTGAAGACAGATCTTGGATCTTTTTAAGGGCCTTATACATATCCCTCAGCCAGTATCTACGCTCAATAGGTTCTTTCACGAACCAGAACGGAATAACGGCTTCTCAAAAAACCGTAGCGGTTCGTGTACAAAGTCACACAGATTAGAATGTATTAGAATCAAGGTCACAACTGATAAGAAACAGGACCAAGGACAAATGATCATTCTGACACTTTAATCTTATAAGGCACATTTCCGTCAACTAAACATTGGGCTTTGGCCTAAGGTTGTGTTAAAAGCTGAACTTGGGCTTCAACCACTAAATTGAATATCGGTCGGACCCTGGTGATAACTGAGCAACTAGCAACAAACACTCTATCAATGTCGTTTCAGAGATGAAAGCCTTATTTTCAGTTTTAATCCAAGGTTGAACTCGATACGTTCATGTTTTATGCGTAATTTTGGAAAGTAATTTTATAGTGGCGTCATGAACTCATATTACAAGCAACGTGTTGTGATTTAATTTTTAGTTAAAATTGCTTGTAGTGTATGGGGAAGAGTTTATTTGAATGGGCGTAGGGCGTGGTTCAAGAAGGGGCATGAATCGGTGTAAGACTTTTGCATGCACTGGCCACGTCTTACACGTCTAAGTACTTATATGTTATCTTGCGAGTTAAATATCAACAAAACATACGTTTGCATCATGTTACACGAAAATTTGAATCTGCGAAAGAAGTTTGCCAAGATGGTGTCAAACGTTTTCAGTCATTCCCCATTCATAGTGCAAAAGTTTTTGGCATAAAAATGTATTCCAAAGTTGCCGCATACTATAGCCTCACCATTATCCCATGCGACTGTTTTATTCCCAAAGATGTAATTTTAAAGAACCGTGGTTCCGAACGGGTTACCATCTGAGGTTTACCCAGATTTTCTCCAATCGTGGGAGCCATGTTGGAATCAGAGTACTTTGAAGGTGGATGATAAATTTTGTCCGAGACTTGCTTTTTATTATATCGGCAAACTCCACCAATTCGTGAAAAACGTTTGAATATGAGACGCATTGGCTTTAACGCTGAATTTTATTTCAGATCTGGAAACAATCCCGACTAGCCAAGGCAAGAAACTGCTTGCTTCTGGTTTCTGGGGCTTTGTGCGCCACCCCAACTACCTTGGCGACATTCTTGTCCATCTTTCATTGTTGCCCTTCGTTTTATGCGCCCCGCCTGCCCTTGTTGTCGTGCAAACGGTGGTGCTGTTACTATACAGGACATACAGGGATAACAATCGATGCAAGATCAAGTACGGTGCCGGCTGGGACAGGTACTGTCAAAAGGTTAGGTATGCCATCATACCCAAGGTGTATTAAGGTAGGGAGATTGGTATTAACGAAAGGTTGGTTGTCAACAGGAGCCTGTGGGCTTTAAACACGTCCAGAATTTGTTCACATGGTCAATTCAGTCCAAGAACATAGAAAATTTGAAACGGCGTAAAACAATCTAAACAGTTCGAACTGTAATATAAAAATTGTTGCATTTGAAAAATCACAGGTCATGAAAATGAAATCTATCGTAATTATTACTCCAGAAAGAAAAAGTATGCAAATTGAAATTTTCAGTAACTGTGAACAACTATCGAGTAAAAGAAGTAAACATAGTGAAATGTTTTGGATCACTTGGAATAAATTGACCTGAATGAAAATGATTATATCATAAACAACGCGAAAAAGGCAATTCTTAGGAAATCATATAGTTTCAACTGTTTTTATTAACTTCGAGGTGAAGTTCTTGGCTTTCGATATTTCTAGTTTCGTTGAACTAGCTCAATGTTACCGCATGCGTGTACTTTTTTAATTTCGCATTTTGGAGCTTCATTTTGACAGTTAGTAGAACGTGAGTGAGTAGATTTAATTACGAATTTGTACATTACATGATGCAAGGGAAAAGTAGCAGTTATGGATCTCAAGATCATCAGTTGCAGTGCTGTTTTAGGCATTAAAAATATCGAAACATATTTTTCAAAATTGTGTATTGTAATTTTTTTCATGTTGGGGAACTAGCTATATTGGACATGTGGTTGCAGATCGAGTATTTTGGAAGCCTGTTTTTTTTAATTGATACTAACATTTTGATTGCATTGTTATTCTTTGCACATAATATCATTTTACTTTGAACTTATGTTCTTACACAGATATTTTCTTCACTATTTTTTTCGTTTTTATCTCCCTTATTTATATTATTCTTTGTATAACAAATTATTGTGTTTTTAAAATAATTTTCCAACATGCTACTCGGATTTTTCTTGTATCTGATTTATGTAGTAAGAGCATATAGAGTACAATGATTTGTCTTTATTTGGTAGTGTAGTATTTTTATCAAAAGGATTGTTCACATTTCCAATTATATTTATGGAACTAAGGTTTCTATAGCTTTATATGTAGAAATATTCATATAAAAGAATCCATAGTTGTAAAAATTCAGTCAGTTTGGATATGGCGTGTGAACATTTTCATATACATATAAGAAACCAGGTTATTCTCTTCTCATCGTTATGATGAAACAAGAATTTTATTTTCATACTTTGATATGTGCCTCTGTTGAGCTGTTTGTTATTTGCACTTTTAATACAAGCAGAAAGTTTTAAAATTACAGCTAGAATTTATCCATTCTAACCCTTTTTTTAAAGGATCATGTTTTGTAATATTGTCATACATGATTCGTAAACGCGTTTTATTCATATTGACTGGATTATAAATTTAATATAATTTTTTAAGTAGATATTTTGAATGTGTGATATTTACACAGTTTGAGAAGCTAAAATTTCAAGAACTCATCCGGATTGTTGCTAGTACATATTTTTGAACTGAATGAGTTCATATTATATAGAAATCAGCATTGTTACGGAATGTGTAATATTTACACAATTTATCAGAGAAGTTAAAATTTCGGGATTCAACCGGATTGTTGCTAGAACACATTTTTGAACTTATTAATAAAATTCCCGTTATGTAAAAATCAACATTGTTACGGTGATTGTATTTTTTTTTCATAATTGGTGAGTAATGATAATCTTGATCCTACTGTATGCCTTTCAACATGAAGATTAGGGTGATTGTAATACAGTAGTCCATATTCACATTTCTCGTTATTTTGACAGATAATGCTTGACATACCTGTCAAATCATCGTTAATAGAAAACATGATTCTTATCGCATCAAACTTCACTGCTATAGGACAGTGCCGGATTAAGCCAAATGTAGCAAATTCTATCAAGGGGCCGTTGGTTTGCTTTAGGTTCTCAAGTTTAGGGTATTAAATAAAACAAAATTGTTACAAATACACTTTTCTGCATTTTATATGAGCAAATTTAGATATAGCACATTTAATACGTTTTAATGTTGAAAAAGAACGTTCGCCACTGCAGTTAATGATCATCAGAGACAAGTAAATACGCAAGGCAATTTTTAAGTTTGGGAAACACGATTCTAAAGAATTATTTTATAAAACTTTATAAAATAGCTGTTCAAGAGGCTCCTGTTTCTTGCTGTCAAAAACAGTAGTCACATCTGTTTTCAGCAGCTCTGCAAACTGCAGTAATTCGCCACCTAGGCTGTTCTCCAAATCATCTTCGTAAGCACTGACCATTCTTAAGAATTTTTCCAAAATCTCTTCTGTTGTAAGAGATTTTAGCTGTAGAAAAGCTTCAAAAACACTAGTAATCTTATGATATGCTTTCATACGTTTAGTTAAAGCAGACAGTACATTATCAATAATGACGATAAACACCTGAACTTCTAAAAGTTGTCCAGGTGTTTGGTTTTCAACAAAGCCGTCGAGTGTACTAGAGCCGCTGAAGTGGTCGTACTTTGTATTTCGGTGGATTCGCCTTGATGCCTGTTGCTGGTATTCTTCACAGTTGGCCAGATCTTTGGCTCTTGCCTCAATATCTGAAAATGTGGATCGCATTTCTTGGACGAAGCCATATAATGATTCATAAAGCGCGTATCCCGTACTAAGGTCTTGATCTTGCAACGAAGCACTAGTGGCTTGCAAACGTTCTAGGATTCCGTTCCATGTAATTGTCATTATTCCCGTTTCTAACTTATTCATCGTTGAAATTAGTCCGTAAGCTTTCTGATCCACGTTATTGAAAATGTCTTCCAAAATTTGCTTAATAGTGATAAAACCACATAAAAGTGCCATCGTAGCATCATCTCGGGCTGACCACCTAGTGTCCGATAACCGTTTCAAAATGGGAAGTTTTGAAGTAGAATCTTTAAGTGCGTTCGTAAGACGACTCCATCAATAGGTAGAAACGGAATAAAATGTATAGAGGTTTTCAATGAAATCGAATGAACAGCAGTCTCCAGAGCACTTAGGAACCAAATTTAATGAATGTGCAAGACAGGGAATGTATTCGGCGTACTTATTTATTTACTTAATTCGGACTTGTAAGCCGATGTATTTCCCACTCATGTTGCTGGCATTATCTTAGCTTTGCCCACGACAATCTTTGATATGAATGCCACTCTCACTTAAGAAATCTAGTAAACTTTGAGTGAGTTGTTCAGCACTATGACATTCCATGCCCAAGAACTTAACAAGTCTTTCCACTGGTCCAGATTTTCTGAACATGGCGCACTATCAGAGTCACTTGGCCTACATGCGATATATCTGGAGTAGAATCCAATGAAACTGAATAGTATTTGCAAATAATTTTATCCAGTATGCTTGATGCAATTAGATGAATAAATTCCTCACAAGTTGTTTTTGGTAAATACCTTTTGTTTACAATTTAAATAGTTCATTTTTAAATTACCCGCCTTTTTACCGTCACTAGCTTTCAATAATCTCGAAACATGATCGATATGATAATCGATTAAAAAAATGTCCGCTATATTCACTCATAAAATGAATCTATATTATATAATAAATCAACCAACCACAGTAGATTATATCGTGACTGAGTTAATGAAATTTAAATAGTTAGCCTGTTTTCCCGAAATACTTATAATCAATATTATATTAAAATCGATTAAAAAAGTACAATCTCGGCTACGTAAACTCGCAAAATAAATGTATACCTATATAAAAAAATAAGAATCTGGCTGCTTGAAGGAAAGAAATGTGGTTTAGATGCTACTCTAAATATATCGATTATAATTAAACATTAGAACATTAACATTAAAAAGTTCGTTTAATTCCTACTTATGTTTAAGATTTAACGAGTCGAAATCGAGTTTTAGATTTTCAAGTGGAAGTGAAGCATAGCCAAATTAATATTTTTTATTACGGTCAGACAGGCGTTGGAGCGGGACCCATAGCATTTGCTACTCTTGCTACGTGGCTAATCCGGCACTGCTATAGGACTACCCTTATCTTCAACAATTTTTTACATCATCGGATCAAGGTTGCCATTTATCTAAAATTTAAACAATAGCGATATGACTGTTGATTAGAACAAATGGTTTTGAATGTAGTTTGTACTAACTCAACAAAAGTACAAAAATGAAGCCATATCATTTTTTAATCTTTATTTACGTATGTAAGTTTTTGTAAATAAAGATGCAATTTGCTCTCTATTGGTAATTTTTACTTTAGTGTGTGATACATTTTATTATCATAAAATTTGTATATCTAGAACTGATCTCCAAGAGTGTATACATGTGTGCAATGAGTTGTACAAAACGTGAAACAAAGATGTATAAAGTATTTTGGTAAAATTTTCAAAATGTGAAAATCAGATCAGGTATAATTATTGTATCCACGTTTTTATCAAAATATATTGGTACTTTTAACTACTTCTTCTACTTTGTTATCCTCATCCAGTGAACCTATCCAATCAGTCCTTTGTCAACTACCACACAGTGGTAACAGAATGAAAAATGCCAATCAATAATTAATATATGGACTTGCTCAGATCTTGATGACCTAACAAAACACCAAGGCAGTCACTGGCCATAGTTACAATTTGCGTTCTATTCGCATAAGCAGATCTGTAATCTATGCCTGTTTACACCATATGTGTAGCTGGACTTCAGATCACTCCAATTTCGTTTATGTTGAAGTATCCATGGACTTTGATAAAATATGTGGCAAACCACTGCATCGTGCTTACTATATGAATTAGTCACCACATCGCACTTAAGATTCGATGACCCGTCTTGAGTTATGGCATCGAGTTGTTTGTGCAAGAAGACTATACCATGACTATCTAAAACTGTAATGACTCATCGATGTTCACGTGAACATCACTCAACCACCGGTAGTCGGGTTGTCAGTGGCGGGGTATGGATTTTTAATGTGGGTGAACTTGATTTCTTTTATATGTTAAGTAAAAAGGAAATGGTTTGAAAGGCTTTATAGATAAAAAATTTGGACATTATCTTGTCAGTTTTTTTCTGATTTCCCGTAAGCTAATTCTCTTCATTCGTCGTCGCTTCCACCAGTGGCGGATTTAGAGGGGGCGCGCTAGAAGTCCTACACTTGCTTTTGTAATCTAACACCATTGTGTTACTTTCTGACACATCATGGCCACAGAGGCATACTAAGTATAAGTTATAGCTATAGGAACTGAGCATTGCGATTTTTTTGTATCCTTTGGTATTCCAAATGCTGTCCCACGTTGACATCACTTGTTTACAGCACAAGTCGCTCTTACTCAAGGGCCGACCCAGCTGGTGACGAGCCCTACTTTCTTCCCCCGCGTCTCGTCACAGGCTGAATCTCTTTCTGACCACGCATCCTGTCCCTTACAGCACTGCTGTCCTGTCCTCCCTGGGTAACTCAGACCACGGTGTTGTGGAGGTTAGGTTTCGGTCAGAACCCGCTGTGGCAGCAGAAACTCGTACAGGCCGCAAAACTTGGCATTACGGACATGCCGACTGGGAGGAGCTCAGAGACTTCTTATCTAGCTTTCCTTGGAGAGATGTCTGTTTCACTGACGCGGATGCGTCGGCTGTCTGTCCTTCGATAACCAAAATTATCCACGTCGGAATGAAGGAATACATCCCTCATACAGTGAAAGTACCTAAACCAGGGTCCAACGGCTGGTTTAACAAATCGTGTGACACTGCTCGCCAGCAGAAGATCAAGGCACACAGAACCTTCTTACAAAACCCCACTGTAGAGAACAGGCAAGCCGATGTCGAGTCCAGAAACAAATATAACGGTAGTGCTTGCCAAGATCTTTGCTGCCAACTACACCATGGACGCCCCCCCCCCAACGCCCAAGTGCAGTCAATTCAAAGGGTTCCCTACACTATGCGGGATAGTGGTGTTGGTTATCGTTACTTTCGAGTACTCGTTACTAATCGTTACTCTTCTACAAAGTAATCGTTTATTGTATTCGTTACTTTGATTAATGTGAGTAGTATGAGTATAACGATTTGGCAATGTGCGTCGTGTGATCAATGTCGAATTTAAACAAGTTGAATGGAACCGCATCTTGTAAGAAAATAGACGACCTTAACATTTGCAAAATGTTATAAGCATAGTTTATTCAAGTCTATCGTGTTTAATGCAAACATTGTATCTTCAAACTGTATGCTTATCGAGATGAGTTATCATAGGATGGAGTGTCATATGACTCATATGAGCCTACAAACTGAAAATACTTTGTATTTACTAGAAATACTTAAAAACATGCCTTTTAGTCAGAAAGACGATCTGTATATGGGCTTAAGGAAATTCGAAATGGCATGTGACTTTTCGAAGCATTTCAATTAAGCATAATATACCAGTATAAAAAATTCTACGTTGAGCTTGTCTACACATACTATTGGTGGTCATATTGAATTATAATTTTTTTAGCCAAACAGTGCATGGAAACACGAGTCAAATTGACATAACTTTTATTATTGTGGTTTTCCTGAACGGTGGTGTTACCTTGTTGTCGCTTTTCTGCCTCATAATACTGCCGAACTTTGATCCGATCCAATCGACTACTTATTCCTTTTCAGGTTCCCAAGATCACAACAATAAAAGCGAATTTGTGTCACGGTGTAAATAGGTAAACTTCAGATTTAAAAACAATTACCAAATTCTATGTCCGCCAATAAAAAAAATGAGTTTCCAGGTTTCCATCTGAATGTGGGATGTCTGGCAACCCTGGTGCATGAGCGGTAGTGCTATAGTCTAACCAGCGTTACCACTCAACGATCAACGATTGTACAGGTACCGAGTAGGGATACGGAAAACAGAGTAATCAAAGTAATCATTTCGTGCTCGGATTGGTACTCGTTACTTCGGGTATCTATGAGTAATGAGTACTCGAGTTTCGTATGATTACTCTTTCAACACCACTAATGCGGTAGGTAACATTCAGTCGTAAGACCATAAGATGAGTGCTCTTGTCGCTCGACATCAACAAAGCTTCTGGTCCGGACTTGACTCCTGCCATTGTACTGAAGAGGTGTGCAGCTCCAGTTCTTTCGCGTCTCTTATGAATCCGGCGCCTTCCCAGACAACTGGGAATTTGCTCATTTCCAACCCACCCCAAAAAAAGGATCTAAGACCGACCCTTACAACTACAGGCCTATAGCTCTGCTTTCTGTTATGAGTAAGGTGATGGGGAGGTGGATAAATCGCGAGCTTCTGGACGACCTCGAACGTCACAGCTTGATTAGCGACATGCAGTATGCTTTCCGGCACCAATGATCCACAGGGGACCTCCTAGCCTACGTCACGCAATTGTGGAGTAAACTCATCCAGTCTTATGGTGAGGTTCATGTCGTTCGATCAGCTGTGGCACGCTGCCCTCTTAAGCAAACTCCCGTCCTATGGCCTCCCAGAAAAGCTTTGCGGGTGTGTGGCTGACTTTATATCTGGCCGCAAGATATCCGTCGTAATTGACGGGTTCTCCTCTTCATCCCACAACGTCAACGCGGGTGTTCCCCAGGGATCGATATTGACTCCTACACTATGCGGGAGATAACATTCAGGCATAAGACCGTAAGACGAGTGCTCTTGTCTCTCGACATCAACAAAGCTTCTGCTCCGGACTTGATTCCTGCCATTGTTCTGAAGAGGTGTGCAGCGGAGCTCCAGTTCTTTCGCGTCTCTTCTAGATATCTTATGAGTCCGGAACCTTCCCAGAAAACTGGAAATTTGCTCATGTCCAACCCATCCCAAAAAAGGATCTAAGACCGACCCTTATAACTACAGGCCTATAGCTCTGCTTTCTGTTATAAGTAAGGTGATGGAGAGGTGCATAAATCGCGAGCTTCTGGACTACCTCGAAAGTCACAGCTTGATTAGCGACAGGCAGTATGATTTTCCGGCACCAACGATCCACAGGGGACCTCCTAGCCTACGTCACGCAATTGTGGAGTAAACTCATCCAGTCTTATGGTGAGGCTCATGTCGTTGCTCTTGACATCACGAAAGCGTTCGATCAGCTGTGGCACGCTGCCCTCTTAAGCAAACTTCCATCCTATGGCCTTCCAGAAAAGCTTTGCAGATGGGTGGCTGACTTTATCTCTGCCCGCAAGCTATCCTCTTCATCCCACAACGTCAACGCGGGTGTTCCCCAGGGATCGGTCTTGGCTCGACACTGTTCCTCTTACATATCAACGACCTCCTTTCCTGCACGATCAACCCAAACCACAGCTTCGCTGATGACAGCACTCTACAAGCAGAAATTCAGAGTGGCCTGCCGATCTCTGCCGCAGAGCTGGAAAAAGAAGACTAGCGACGACTTCCTCTCTGACGAGAGACCTGGAGGTTATCAACTGCTTGTGGACGCAACAACCTTGTACAGTGTAAGGCTTCCAAAACGCAGTACTGTACCTTGATGAACAAAAAGCGTCCTACCGCTCATCCGGTTTCGATAGATGGCCGAGTTCTGCCAAAGAGCCGTTCATTTCGGCTGGTCGGAGTTCAGATCACCGAGGACCTGATCTGGCACGAACACATCTCGTCAATAGCGGCAGCTACTGGGAAAAAGCTAGGCTGTTTGTTTAGGGCTAAAAGTACTTTTCTCCGCATGACCTCACTCGATACAAGGCACAGATAAGCCCTAACCAACGGGTTTTGCTCCTCAGAGCTCTCTTCCATGATGCCGCCGCGCTATGTGCCTGCTAGGCAGACCCGCCCGACTTTGGCGTCCCATCCTAACCGTGTCGAACTTCGTACATCCAGAACTGGCCGATACGACCGCTCCTTTGTACCGAGGGTGTCGAGATTGTGGAACAATCTACAAGATGAAGCTTTTCCCAGATCTACTAACCTTACGCAGTTCAAAAATCGTATTAACAAAATTTCTTTGAGATTATCATAGCAGCCGCGGTGTTCTGGCATTTAAGCTTCTGCCTGCACCGCTGCTTCGATATATATAAAAAATGTACCGCGGCGCCGCACAGTGTCGTCTAGAACACACCTGGCAAAAAATGGCGTCAATTGGGGGACTCCGCACCTCCCACGCAACGCGCTGTTATCAGTTGTTCATAAATATGTTCAGCACAAACTAGACCCTCTGAGAAAGTCAGTCAAATATTTCCATACAATTAAAAATAATAATATTAATAATAATCGTCTTCATTACCATTATCTACAAAAGGCGAGATTTAGCTTAAAGCTACTCTTACACCTAACCTTATGTATCTGTAGTACGCTAGAGGATTTAAAAATGAAAGATCTTAAGGTGGCAAGTCCAATTTTTAGATTTTTTTTTGAACTACCTTTTGCATTCTAAATCCTTTTCATCTGATAATTTCATGGCTGTATAGAGATGGCTAAAAAACAATGTTTTAATATTTTTTTTTGACAAGAAATTCATTTTTTGTGCATTTTTCCTTCA